TCTAAGTTATAAGACTAAGCATTTTATCAAATTGTTGGACATATTCAATGTCATACATAAAAAGAAATAGATCTTTCATTAATAAAATTTACATAATATGGGAGGCAACTTCTTTGGCACAAATATTTTACTATTATATCTAAATCAATATTCACTATAGTTTTCTAAAAAAATGGTTGGTCGTCTTTTTTTGCATCAAGTACGTCTATAAAAATCTATTGATCATGCAAGTTGTAGTATGCTTTGTTTCTGTCGAGACATCTACAACATCTCAATAGAGGTATTAAAATACATTTTTTTTGTTTATTTCATTAGAACCTTGAATCATAAAGAGATAATAATTGATGCTTGATTATATTTTTTGTCTTACTCAACCTTTTACATCAATTTATTGCTATTTTACTGGATTTGCAATTTGTGATGGAGTAAAGTATTCTATTGAGAGCTTTGGTTAGGAACGTTACTTTGTCAAGTACAAATTGTTTCAATTGCATTAGAGGGTGATTGGTAAATTGGTTTTAAAAGCTATGAAAGCATTTAAAAACGTTTAAATTTTAAATTTTTTCAATTAGACTTGTTTGATTTAACAGCCCTAGAAGTCCAAAAATTATTTTTTAATTAATTTTCTCACATAATCTTTTTTTTTGTTTCATGTTATGCTTCTTTTTAATAAAGCTCTTCTTTTGTATTTTTAAAAAAAATTAAAATCGTAATTACCTATGTAAAAGGCCAAACAATTGCAAAAAAAAAAATTACATGGTTTTTTATAGTATACGATATTATTGGATTTGATAAATAAAATATCTATTTTTATACGTAAATTTACATAAAAATTATATTATAATTTACATAATAATTACATAAATGTACACAAAATACTTAATTGTAACTTTTTAAAATTAATTTACATAAGAATTAGTTATTAAATTGTCAGAATTAAGGTTGACCAAAAAAAATTGTTAGAATTAATTGCTAAAGTTATTGAAAGACACTTAATTTTTTCTTTTGTTTTAAATAAATAATTTAAAAAAACAAATGTCAAAAAATTAGATGACACATGACAACCTCTCATAATTTGAATTTTTTTAAAACCTTATTATATTATACTCACTCTGTTTTTTTAATATAAGATGTTTTGACTTAAAGTAAAAAGTTTTAAAAAATAAAAATTATTTAACAAATAAAATACAAAAAGTTCAACCAATTAAAAAAAAACTGCATAATATTATTGGTTACACAGTATTCAATAAAGGTAAAAGTTACCTAAATATCTGAAAACATCTTATATTATAAAACAAAAGAAAATCTCTAAAACAACTTATATTAGAAAGATAAAGGTACAACAAAACACTACACAATAACACAATAGTTTCGCGATGGTAAGTTGTTCCTAGTCCAAGTTTAGGGCTGTGTCTCACCATCTATGCCAATTATTGTGATTTTTTCTTGGGCCATATATGGTTAAGTGACAAAATAAACGGGTTTTTACACAATTTGGATATTAGTCTAAATTTTGACGAGAATTTACCTCGGTTTAGAAATGGTTATTTTTGGCCAAAGGCTCTTTGGATATTGCCTTTGATTACCTTTGAAAACATTCAAAAAGTAGAGAATCAACATGACAGTACTCTTGGAATTGTGCTTAAACTCTTGACAGTACAACATGAGAACGTTTTCATCTAACGAATTGTGACACAGACCACAAGAATTAAATAAGCTTTCTTTAATTCAACCCCGGAGATAATTAGCCAATGCTTTCTTTGGACCAAACCCACAACGTTCTCTAATGTTCCTCCCAGAGAGAAACGGAGCTCTCTCTCCTCCTCCTCCATTAATGGGGCTTATCAATGGCATTGGTGAATACGTTGGAGTTGATGCAGAGAAAGACGGAGTTCTGTACGGAGTTGTCGTGCCTGAGAATGACACAGAGAACAAGGAAGGAGCAGAGAGTCTCTTCCTTAGAGAGCCTGAACAGCCATTTGCTGATTCTTTAGACAACAATCTCAACTTGTCTGAAGAACAAGAATCATCAACATGACCATCATCTTTGCTTATGTCATCCATGTACAACACTTCCTCTATGCGCACTCCGATGCTATACGCTAAACTCTCTAATACCCTTGAGTAGCTCTCAAGTAAAGACTTTCCTACATCCTGCAAAAGAAAGTTCAATACTTTAAGGTTTGAGATTTGACTTTGTTATGTTTCATGTGTAAAGCTAATTGAATGAAACCTTGTTGTATTGGATCTTGCTTGTATCCAAAGTTGTTTGTCTAATTCCCGGGAAACGTTGCTTGAGGTGGATCAATAAGCTTTCCGCTCTTCCCGCGAATGTTTCTCTTTTGTCACCATCGTTTTGATTCATCATCATTTCCTTCACTAGCATCCCCCATGAGGGTCTTGTACTTGTGGATCGATACAGAGAAATCAGATGCCTCGAGTGAGCTCTTCGCCTCCAAATGTACATTGATGCTTCTACTCGATTCGCCATTTCTACAACCGCGTGCTCAGATGAAAGATCTATTGATTCGAGCAAATAATCCGCCGAGAAGTTATCCGATGTAATGTTTCTATACAGAAAATCGCCAAGGCATGATCTTCCGTTCTGCGAATAAAACAGTTATGATTCAACAACTTAAAACATTTGGTTCTGAGATTTAAAGTTTGTTTTTAATACCTTTGGAAGAGCTTCAAGGTATGATTGTGGAACTTCCATTTCAGCTAAAGCAATGCTGTTTATTGACATACAAGCTTTCAAGATTTGGTTAGTGAAATCGCGAGTGTGATCTAATTTCTTCCTAGATTGCTCGGTAAGTCCATCGGATGGCACGCGTGGCAATGGAAGCCACCATTTGTCTCCATCTTCACGGAAAGAGTTGGACCTTGCAGATTCCCCATCTATAATCCCTTGATCAACATACCAGAACTCGGTTTCTCCAAAACTATCCAATATTTCCTAGAGTAAAGCAAAGAGTACTCTTTTAGGAACTCACATTTAGCTATTTGAAACCTCATGAAGAACAACAAATTAACAATCAGGTTCTTACAATGAGCATATTGTCAAGCTTCCGAAGAGCGGGAAGACAAGTAAACAGATCTGATCTTGGTCTGCAATTCATCACCTTCAAACACACAATCACTCAGGTCAAAATCCAATATACACATGACTTAAATTCTCTCACTTTAAAGACTTAGACTTGGAAATTTGGATTAAAATACCTCAATCTTGCTTCCATTGGGGAAATTCTGAAAAGAAGGTACCAATTCAACAATGTGATCACTAACAGAAAGAAGAACTTCGATTTCTCTTCTCCACATTGTTTTCTTCTCACTAGACAAGGGCTCTAGCCTCCATTGTTGCCCCAAAATCGCAGCTTTCATCGAATCAAAAGTAAAACTCAGAAATCATCAATATCACATACACATCAAAAGCTAAAGTATGGAACTTTAAGTACCATAAAGATTGGTAATGGCGTTAGAGATAGCTAAAGCAGGACAAACTCCTTCACCAGAACCAGACATGTCTTCACCAAGCAGCAATTTCGCCATTCTCTCTTTCAACAACTCAACTTCTACACACAAACTCGCACAAAAGCAAAAATGTCAAATTTACGTTACGTTTTTTTTTGCGTTTCTATGAAAACAGAGAGATTTGATTACACAAACCTGAAGTCTCTGTTCCGATTCTCTTAAACCCGAAATTATCGATTTTTGTCGGAGTTTTCTTCTTCATTTTACCGGAACTCTTTCTCCAAGAGCCTTGTCCTAACGGCCATCCAAGGATCTGAGACTTCGTCGGAGGAGAAGACGGAGTAGAAACAGATCTCTCCGCCACTGACGACCTCCCGGAGCTCGATCCAGCACCGCAACTTGAGCTGCTAAGGTTTGACTCAGTCGTGGACTCGGTCACTGAGTCAATTAAACCAATGATTCGTTTACTCTCACCATATCTTCTCGATCCTTCCTCAAACCCAATACAGCTACTTTCCATTGCGTTTAAAAAGATTGGATTTTTTAGATACCCAGAAAAACTAAAGAAGAGATCACAAAGAAGATGAAGAATGGTTATGGTAGTTGTTGTGGTCCATGAATTCGAGAAAAATCCTTTTTTTTTTCTTCTGGTTATTCCAATTGTTTGTGTTGTTTTTTGTTCTGTCTTAAATGTTTTTGAATTTTGCAAAAGGTCACATGCAAATCTTAACGTCTCTTTGCGAC